CTACGTCACTTGAACGTGCCCATGTGCGCGTGCAAACACACGCGCAGGAACTACTATAGGGCATCCTAAATCACCTGAGTATGCATACAGACATAACCATAGATTCATAGATGCTAGGGTCGGAAGGGACCTCAATAGATCATCGAGTCCGACCCCCTGCGTTGGCAGGAAACCATGGGGTGCCCCACACCACCTGAACACACACACATACACACAATCATGGAGCATCCAATTCCACCTGCACAAACACGTACGCACGCACACACGTGTGCACCCACACACATGTTCATGCATGTCCATAGGAACAACCGTGGAGCATCCTATGCCACCTGAACATGCACAAGAACCATGGGTCACCCCACATCACCTGAATGTACATGTGTGCACGCGCGCGCACACACATACACAGGGGAACCACAGGGCATCCTAAATCACCTGAACTTGCATACACACACACAACCATGGGGTGCGCCCCATACCGCCTGAACACACACACAATCATGGAACATCCTACACCATCTGAACACGCGCACAGGAATGATCACAGGGCACCCCACACCACTTGAATACACACACACGGTCAACCATAGAGCACCCTGCACCACAAGAATGTGCACACACACACACACACACATATACACAGGAACAACCACAGGGTGCCCCACACCACCTGAACACAGACACAGAGGAACAACTACAGGCTGTCCTACAGCATCTGCATGCACACACACAACCACAGAGTACCACACCACCTGAACACACACACACAACCATGGAGCATTCTATACAACTTGCACACATGTGCACGTGCACACACATACATACATGTACGTGCACAGGAACAACCATGGAGCATCCTCCACCACCTGAACACTCACACAGAAACAACCATGTGGTGAAAACCAGCACCTGAACACACACAACCATGGAGCATGTGTATGTGTGTGTGCATGGGTGTCCACAGGAACAACCAAGGAGCATCCTACACTACCTGAACATACACATGCGTGCACACAAGAACAATCACAGGGTACCCCACACCACCTAAATATAACCACGGAGCACCCTACACCACCTGAACATTCATGTGTGCATGCACACGCGTGCATGCGTACACACACACACATATAGGAACAACCACAGGGCATCCTAAATCACCTGAACATGTATACATAGACACACCCAACCATGGGGTGCCCCACACCAGCTGAACACACACACACACACACACACACACACACACACACACATAACCGTGGAGCATCCTACACCACCTGAACACACACACATACACACATATATGCACGCACCCCACAACACACACAGGAGCAACCACAGGGCACCCTACACCACCTGAATACATGCACACAGAGCAAAACACATGCATGCCAACATCTACACACAGCTGCACACCGTGATCCTCCACTTGGACCCCCCAACCCCACGCTTTTTGTGTTCCTACACACACCATTGCCCTTCCCCTGTCACAACAACACACATCTCTGCTGTGCACACCCCTGGGTCCCAGGCTCTTGTGTTCATGCACACCATTGGCCTGCCCCGACATGCAATACCTGTGTGGCTACACCTGAACAGCCCTGCGTGACACCCTATCTGCCCCCATGCCGCACCCCACGTGCTTTGCGGTGCAGATGGGCAGCCCCTCACGTGTCACCCAGGCAACGCAACACCCCACTCACCCACTGTCTTCCTGCACACAACGCAGCCCATCACCCACACAACCTCCTCCCCTCCTTGCACTCAGCAACAGCCCCCACACCACTGTACTCAGCACACGTGTGTGTACATGCACACACATGCATGCACACACACAGTATCAGGAAATAGCCCAATCGCCGGCCCCAGCAACAGCCACTGAAGAGTCAGGCGGACCAGTGGTCTCCGTGGCAACCAGCCTGGGGTGCTGAGGAGACAATTGCCATGGTCTTGACCATAGCAACGGGCCTCGGCAACAGCCACTGGCAGCACGGCCTGCCCAGTCTCCTCAGCAATGACGGACAATCGCCCTAGAGTCAGCCAGCCCAGCTGTTGCCATGGCAACCGGGCCCAGACAACAGCAGCCGAGGAGTCAGCCAGGGCATCCGTATCCCTGGCAACTGGCCATGGGCGACAGCCAATGAGGATCCTCCTGGCCCAGCTGCCTCCGTGGCGAATAGGCAGTCACTGAGCAGCTGGGAGTTGTCACCAGCGTCCTCATGGCAACCAGGCCCGACAACAGCCTAGATGGGCAGGGTCAGCACGGACCACTGGACCTCGGGTGTGCTGACTGCACCGTGTGTGTGTGTGTGTGTGTGTGTGTGCATGCGCACGCATGTGTTCCTGTGTCTGTGCCAGACTGCCAGGGTGTTGTGCAAGGGGCCAGGTGTGCAGCGCACCAGCCTGGGTAGTGTGTGTGTGTGTGTGTGTGTGTCTGTGTGTGTGTGTGTGTGAGAGAGAGAGAGAGAGAGAATGACTCGGTGACTGTGGCTTTAGGGAAGAGAGGTATCCTGGAGGGTGTGGGCCGGCGGGGGGGGGGGGGGGGGGGGGGGGGTGCGCGCGCGTGTGCATGCATGTGTGTGTGCACGTATGTCTCAGGGCAAAGTCAACACCTCTGAGTACGGCACATGCTGCATGTGGGGGTGCGTGCATGTGCATGTTGCACACCTACCTGCAGGCCTGGTGTTTGTGCATTAGCCTGTGGAGGTGAGCATATGTAGCCATCATGCACGTGCACATCTGTATTGGAGCACACGGGTGTCACATGGGACTGGGGGTGGTGTGTATGTGTATGCATGTGTTTCAGTGTATGCGTGCACACCTGCACTTCATGCCTGTGCAACAGGCATGCCGGGTGTCCGCTCATGGCTATCACGTGTGACTGTGCCCTGCCGGGACCCACCTGTGAACACGCGGGGCACTGGGTGTGCAAGTGTCCGCTCTCTGGCTCTCAAGAGGATGCGTGAGGGTTGTGTGACAGAGCGGACTGCCTGGGCTGCAGGGGTTCAAGCATGCACAGCCAGGCTGTAGCTCACAGGCGCGTGCGGGTGGGAACACGCACACGACTGTCTTAAGTGAGTCAGGGAGCATGTGAGAGCTGGTCAGGCCATCATCTACCTGGTGTGTGTCTGCAGGGGCCAAGACGTGTTGCACGGCACATGCTGGTGTCTCCACAGGACAGTGGGCATGCCACACAGATGCACAGATGCGTGTTATGGGTTTCCTCTCCCCCCACCCCCGAGTGTTGTGTGCGAGGATGCCCGTGTGTTGTCTATCTCCGCATGTGGGGGTGTTGTCTGTCACAGGCGAGCGTGTAGGCGGGCTGCCTGTGCGCGTGTCACTGCCTGTCTGCCCAGGTGCTTATACACACACAAACACACAAATGCACACGCACCCACGCATGGAGCTGGAAGGAGCCCAAGACGCTGAGCCAATGGGGGTCATGAACACGCAACACGGTGTGGTGGGAGGGGAGTGTTGACACGCACATGGTGTGTTGACACGCTCAGCACCAGAAACGCTCGACACATGTGGGGATGGAGGACACCGCAAGGTCACACTGGGGCCTGGCGAGGGAACCCAGGGCTCCTCGGGCCCTAACCAGCTCTGGGAGGGGAGTGGGGTATAACGGAGAGAACCCAGGCGTCCAGGCTCCCAGCTCCCACACATCAGACCCCATCCGAAACCAGGAGAGAACCCAGGCGTCCCCACTCCTGGACCCCCCCAGCCATCCGTGCCCTCTCCGACCCACACCCGCAGGCATCCGTGCACCAGCTCCAGCTGGCACACACCACTGGCTGCCTGTGTACTGGATGCCAGGCAGGACCTGCCTCCCCCCCATGCCCTGGCACACACGGACCCTCAGCTGCCAGCCCAGCATGACCTCAGGTGCCCCCTAGGATCCCCAGGGGCCCATGAGCCGGCTCCAGCCATAGACCCACCGCGAGGCCAGGCATGGGTGCGGCAGCCCTGGCACCGCCATGCCGCAGCCAGCTGCAACACCCCCAAGTGCCCCTCAACAGCTCCCAAGCTCTCAGCCGCACACCCGGCCCAGCAGACAGAGACCTCCCAGCCTCACTTCTGCTTGGCCAGAGACCCCCCCCAAAACCAGCGCTGGATACAGGGGGACCCCTCGGGTGCCCACAAGAGCCCCCTGGCACACAGAGACTGCCCCCCCCACCATGCCTGGCATGGAGAAACCACAGCCCTTGAGCCCCTGAAGCTGCTGAGGGCTGACCCAGCATCTGCGAAGGGCTGCTCCAGGACCCGAGGGCTAGCTGTGACCCCCACAGGCCCCAGCACCGCACTACCTGCCTCAGGACCCCCACAGATCACCCCTGCCCCAGGGCCCTCCCATGTGCCCCGTAGCTCACTTCAGGACCCCTGGCCTCTCCCTGCAGGCCATCTCAGGGTGCCCCAAAGGGGTCCCCAGGACCCTCAAAGAGCCACCTGTGCCCCCCATCATCCCACTGCCCCCCTACAAGGCTGCCCCAGCTCACCCCAGCCCTCCCCATCTCCTCCCACAGGTCACACTCCAGGACCACTAACCCCTCCCCAAAGGACCTCTCTAGGCCCCCCAAGGGCAACCCATGCCCCCCATGACCCCCAGCACCCCACTACCTGCCTCAGGACCCCTACAGATCACCCCCGCCCCAGGCCTAGGCCCCTCCCTGCAGGCCATCCCAGGGCCCCCAAAAAGGCCTCTCCAGCTCCCCCAAAGGGCCACCCGCACCCACCATGATCCCACTACCCCCAAAAAAACTGCCCCAGGCCCTCCCCAGCTCAACCCAGCCCCCCATTGCCCCCTACAGGTCAACCCAGGATCCCAAACCCTCCTCTGAAGGGCCACTCCAAGACCCCCCCCCGACCACCCCCAGCCTCACTCATCATCCAACTGGACAACCCAGGACCCCTACCCCCCCCCGAAGGGCCTCTCCAGGACCCCCCAAGGGCCACTCATGCCCCCCCACGGTGCCCAGGCACGGCCGCGGGCACAGCCTCACCTTCACTGCAGAACTTGCCCTGGAAGCCGGTCATGCTGCAGTCGCAGTGGGCCTCGCCGTCCAGCACGGTGCAGAGCCCGCCGTGGGCGCAGGGGTTCTGGCGGGCGCAGAGGAGCTCGGCGTCGCTGCGCACACCCTGGCTGCCCAGGAGGGCGGGTGGCGTGTCGCCCACCTTGAGGTTGGCCACCAGCCCCTTGAAGGGCGCCTCGTACTTGACGGTGCTGAGGGTGAGGGCCGAGAGGCGCACGTCCGGGGGCACGCCGCCCACGAAGAGGTCGCTCTCCACGGCCATGTCGCGCCGCTTGGACTTGACCTCGGCCACGCGGGCCTCGCCGTCCACCACCAGCATGGTCTCCCGCGCGTTGCGGGTCAGCAGCACCATGTGCCAGCGGTCGTCGGCCACGGGGGTGTCCAGGTGCAGCGTGGCCGGCTCGGCGCACGAGATGGTGAAGCGCAGGCGGAGGCGCCCCTCGGGGATGAGCAGCTCCAGGAAGGCAC